ACATTGAGTACAAGGAGGACAAAAATCCCCCTTCGAACCTGTCCCTGTCGCAGCGGGACTGCTACTGCCGTGTTACTCACGCACCCGATTCACATTTACCGACAATTCGACTGGGACGCCGCCTTTCCCGTGGGGTACCAACTAAGATTTTTGGAGNTTATTGCAGAGATTAAGGGATGAAACGGAGGTTGATGGATGGGGAATTTAATTCTCCATTGAACAGTCTTTGTTTCATCCCTTAATATTAATTAGTCGGCGAATAAATCAACTGAAAAACATAAAGTAAACATTGAGTACAAGGAGGACAAAAATCCCCCTTCGAACCTGTCCCTGTCGCAGCGGGACTGCTACTGCCGTGTTACTCACGCACCCGATTCACATTTACCGACAATTCGACTGGGACGCCGCCTTTCCCGTGGGGTACCAACTAAGATTTTTGGAGTCAGCCAAACCCCCCGATCCGGGCCTCTACTCAGGTCTATCCTCTTTGGTAACACCCCACCCCCAGCAAAGCATTGATGGTTCCTGTATTATCGACTTTCGCGTTTTATTCTCTCTGTTTGCACGTGTGTTTATAATATTAGTTCATTTTTTCATGAAAAAAAACATTAAATTGAACAACATAATTGTTGATGAAGGATTAATCATCTTATTTGTACCTGTGCGGGAAATAGAAATACATATCTGCATTGTGATACGGGACATTGGCATAAGGGAAATCATTAGCCCCGAAGATTCTGACAGCTCGAAAGAGGTTATGTTTGATGAAAGATTTTTAAAAGGAACATTCCTGCAATAATCATCGATCAAAAGCATTGACAATCACTGCAAACCCTGTGCGAAGGCTGTGTGTAACTGAGTGAGGTAAGCTTGCAAGCATCATTTTCAATAAATGCTTGTCAATTTTTCTCTGATTTTGATAGCACTTTTTTTGGGGAGAACAATTGATAATTATTTCTACATCCGCTCTACTTCCAAAGTCAATTCGCATTTCACATCGACGTCATGTTTTCAGTTCATCATTTCATTGCAGGTAAATCATTCATCGATTTCTGATGCAGCAGAATGTCCCAGCATGACCATTAGTCTGATGCAATAGTGGATTATCGAGCGTCAGCTCTCACAGAAGAACCCATAGTCATAACCCCTCGTCTTATTACGTTTTCAAGTTGGAGAAGAGTATCGAGGCACTGAGATATTTTATTATGTACTCAAATGTATCTGTGGTAGGTGTTCGAACATTCCCCAATCGAGAATCAATGTCTCTCGGAGTGTCAAAGTATAAACGACGTATCAATGCTCTCCACAAGAAGAATTTCAATGCTGTCGCAGAAAGAAATTGAGAATTGCCTCACAGCATTCTGAAGACACTCACAAAAAAGTCTCTTTTGCAGGGAGGAAAGGAGCTACTTCGGATCAAGCACTACCCCAATGGGAATCCTCTATTAGACGCTATGAAATACACCCAGGATATAGAAGGCAGTAGAAAAAACAGAAAAGCCCAAAAATATTTCAATTCTCATCCTGCTGTGATCTCTCTATGTGAATTTATTTAATGTTGATTTGAATTTGGAGTTTCCGTGGTTCCCGGTAGCTTAGTTGGAAGAGTGCCCGGCGCGTAACTGGGAGACCCGGGTTCGAATCCCGGCTGGGCGAATCGGGATTTTTTCTCTCTAAATTTTAATTTTATTTGATTTTTTTTTCAAATTTCTGTGAGAAATTGGAGTGTTCCATCGATTTCTCCAATGAGCTAACAAAACTGGATCCAACGGATGTTTCTCCACCCAGCGAAAAAAATTCCAAGATTCATTATCTACTGCTGTACCTCTCCCTCTCAAGACTTCAAGACCCACTGAGGGCAATACAGTCAGCAATAAAATCAAATCTGGTAACGAGTGACGCTCCTTAGACCTAGGCGCTTTTCAATTCGAGAAAAAACTGCAACGATAGACATGCTCAAAGTTAAGATGCATGGAAGAGTCTAACGCAAAGAAAAAGCAGTGAGAAATGCAGAGTTGTGTATTTGTTACTTATCGTATGATTCAACAAGAAATGGGAGAAAAAGATTTGGAACGATGCATACATGTGTTCACCATATGAGATCAATCTATTGTACGACTTCTCTTGACAAATTAATTTCAATATATGAAAATTTGTGTCCAAGCCAAGATCAAATTCCTCCCATTTCGGGAAGCTAATTATTACCATTGAAATACACTATAAGGAACTGCTGATTGCACTTAATGAATGCAATGTAGTCGATAATCAGTTTATCAACGAAAAAATTAGAATATTTAAAATAACAAAAGAAGTGTGTCTTGAAATTATTTGTCTAAATGAAATAATTCTTCAGTTTTCCTAAGTTTCATTTTTTTATTAACTTAATAGTTCTGAAGATTCGTACAGATCTCATAAATCTTTTATATTTCATCGAATGAAAGAAGGTTAGCTCATGTGTAAAAAATGAAAAGTCAAACTTGATTGTGAGGGTCACGAAGGGAAATAGTTAGAAAATTGTCGCTCGTTCATGGAAGAACTATGAACGTTCTATTCTAAAGTGAATACAATATCGAAATAATTGGATCACTAGAATTTTTGCATGGAATTTCTCTATCATTGAATATAATAAATGCAGACGTTCCCACAATTTGATATAACTTCTTGATTTTCTATCATTTTTCAAGCTACAGAAAACATGTATGTTATTGGCCATCGAATTTTTCGGTCTTTATTGTTCCATTCAATAAAGGAATTCCATGCTAGGACACAATTAGTGGGATGTATCATATCACCATCTGTTGATAATTTGTTTCACGTAAAGCAGGCATCACAACTTCTCATACATGTGGTCCTAGATGTTCAGTTGCATTGACGAAGAAAATTTAGATTGAAGGAAGAGAAACGTAAATCGTGCATGCAAACTACATCCCCTGGAGCAAAAGAATTAGTGCTGTAGGTATGGAACCAGTTTTTTTATATTGTTTTAATTCCAGTTCACTTTCATCATCAAATAGTATAAAAAGGTGGAAGCTTGTATGATGTTTTCGTGTTTTTTCGTATTCCATCATTTGTACGTTTTTCGATTTTTTTTTTATTTTTCCACGTCAAAAATGGGCAAAGAAATTTTGATTCAATTAGGGTCACGAGAAGACATTTTTTTGTTTGGAACTGTGCCTACTTCATGAGAGGACACGTGTCTCTTATTTCGAAGACTAATTGAGAACTATGAAGTGATGAGCGATTGAGAATGACAACATATGATAGCGTTTTGCAAAAACAGAAATACGTAGCATTGTGACATCATAATTTGATATAATTCCGAAATCGTATCATCTTTCAAGAAAAAAAATACGTAAGTGATTTTCCATCCACTTTCCGTATCTCATCGCTGTTTTGAATAAAGAAATTTTATGAAACATTTGAATCAACAGAATGTGTTATTTCACTCCTAATAATTTTCTTGCACGTAATTCTCCTAAATCAAACTTTTCCTTCTCAAGAAACTTCCAATAATTACAGCACTACGTATTTGATAATGAATTCATGAAAGAACTAAAGAGAAAAGATGTAAATTATGCATATAAGCTGTATCGTCTGGGGGGAGAGGCTTTGCGTTGCAGGTACAACAACAGTCTTTTATATTGTTCTATTTACAGTTTACTTTCATCACGAAATAATGTTCAAACATGAGAGTTTGTATTAAAACAGTCAAACTAAAAACCATTTACTCTTGGTTCACTATCTCGTCTTCCTGCATTTTTTCAATAAAATCTTTATTTAAACAAATAACATTCGATAAGAATCATATTATAACTAATATACTTAAGATAAAGAACTAGCTTTGGCGACACAGAAAACTGAAATGTTGAGCGTAGTGAACGTTCCTGCTCACTGATTAATCAGATACAAGGCACATTCAGGTTGTATCACCGGATTTCCTTTCACAGGTTTTACTTTACTGAGTAGTCCATCAATCATTGTACTCCCACGTTCCAGTACGACGGCAACAGTAGGCCACGAAATGATCATAGGTCGCATCGTATGAGATGACTCCAGCTAATCTGAAAATAATAATTGTTCCATTGAATCGTTAAATATATGAATTCTCAAGGTGAGAGAAGTCAAATGAATCAGTCAGAAACTGCATCATACCTGTATTCTCTGCTCAAGTTGAAAGATGTAGGCAGATCGTAGAGCTTGCAAGTACGATCAGGATCGGTTGCTCTCTCTCTGCAATCTAGCTCCAGATATACATGACAATTAGAAACATTTTCCTCACGCCTGACTGCTCCACAAGGACATTTCACATTCCAGAGTTTTGGATAATACTTTAGCGTATCCTGCAAGCGCTTGAATCCAAAGCGCCTCAATGATGGATTGTCAGGACAGAATGTCGATAGTTTTCGCTGCTTTTCTTTTATATTGATAGCAAAACTGAAAATTCATCGAAACTGATACGAATAATTCATTTTGAAAGTACAATAACCATTTGTAGTAGAACTGTAGGGCCCATTCTCCTACTGTCCCTTCAGCTGTTCTTCGCTTTTTAAATCCTGCAGAGTTCCCCATCAGGTTCCGCTCGATTCGGGAATCCACGGTTTCATCAATCAAAGTCCCCAACAAAACAAGGACATTTATCTCTGGAGCAAGATGAACCTCAAGTAGGGCATGCTCATCGCTATGCCGGTGAATCATTAACCCCTCGGGTCCCTTGAGACAGTTGTAGACCCATTGAGACTGATATATAGCAATCTGATAGAGAGCTGCCCTTGTCAATTGAGTCTCCTTGAGGTTCAGTGTATAATCGTTACTCCTTTTGCACAGGACTCGAACCTTCTTATCACCAGTATTCTACTCTCAAACCTCTTCATAATCCCTTTCATTTTAATAAATCATCAATTGTATCTCTTCTTGTGCTGTTGATGGGAATTATACGGAGACCAAAGTATTCAGTCTATTGGAGGGTGTAATGCTTGAAGATTTCCTGGCATTGATCCAAAAAGAATGCGCATCTCTAATTATTACCTGTGCAGGAATGAAATAACTTATGATATGGACTAGTGATTGGTGTGAAACAGGGAATACTCGTGGAGACTAACAATTTTACTTTGGAAGTAGCGAGAATGTAGAAATAATTATCAATTGTTCTCCCCAAAAAAAGTGCTATCAAAATCAGAGAAAAATTGACAAGCATTTATTGAAAATGATGCTTGCAAGCTTACCTCACTCAGTTACACACAGCCTTCTCACAAGGTTTGCAGTTATTGTCAATGCTTTTGATCGAAGATTATTGCAGGAATGTTCCTTTTAAAAATCTTTCATCAAACATAACCTCTTTCGAGCTGTCAGAATCTTCGGGGCTAATGATTTCCCTTATGCCAATGTCCCGTATCACAATGCAAATATGTATTTCTATTTCCCGCACAGGTACAAATAAGATGATTAATCCTTCATCAACAATTATGTTGTTCAATTTAATGTTTTTTTTTCATGAAAAAATGAACTAATATTATATATTGTAAACACACATACAAACAGAGAGAATAAAACGCCAAGGTCGATAATACAGGAACCATTAATGCTTTGCTGGGGGTGGGGTTAGATCATAATTGTTCACTTGAACCTAACTAATTAACAATGATTGTACAAACAATAAAAACATGAAATTCGTAATGTACAAACGATTTCCTTCGGAATTGACCCATAATTTAGCACAATTAAGCAATGTATAGTTTTTTCTGGCTAGCATCATGCCAAAACGTGATTAATTTTTTAAAATTAATGAGTGAATGTACAAACAAAAATTTGCATTGTACAATCATGTACTAACGATGTACAATCGAGTACATAAGGTCGTTTTTCTAATTAGTGACCTATTCCGGCTAAGTACCTGGGGGTGGGGTCCCCCCTATGGGCACGTTTCGCAATCGACGTAGTAGCAGTAGCAGTACTGCAACCCTATCTCTAATTTTGCTTTACTGCAGCTACGGTAGTTGATTCCGAAACGCACCCTATGTATAATCTCTGGAGTAGTTCCGAATCAGTCCGTTTTTCTGGGTATAGCGCTGGAAACACTTTTGGCATCGCCAATTGAGACTCTACTTTAGTCAATCTCTTTGATTGTAGTTTTTATCCCGTTCGTGTAAGATTAGGAGCTAAAACAGTCCTCTCATTTATTCTCCACTTTTTTTTTTCTAAACAATTAACACTTCCATTGCTGAAAATCGGTTAATTGGTTGATGATCCCGATATTTATGACAGAACATCGATATTGATTCAGTTCACGAAGGTTTGTAACTTGAAGAATCGAAAATCGTTGTGGTTATAGTCAAATAATTGTTGTCTTTCTTTAGTTTACAGGTTAATGGTTACACGCCTTGACAATATGATGATAAGATGACAGTCGAGTAGTTAATAAAATGATGTGGATGGATAATTGATTGAGAATCAGTGAATTGGTAAAGGGTACATTTTTGATAATTATAGCACTTGTGAATTCTTGAGATTGGTATTTTGACTTATTATCCTCTAAGTAGTTGCAGCTCTTCACCTAACGTAATTGATCGTATAGTAAAGATAATACCCGCCTTGTGTATTTTACGATTTCCTAGAAAAGAGAAAGTTTGAAAAAGTATTGCATTCCTCGTTTATGGGTAGCCTTGAATTGGATGCAAAAAAAAAGTTTTAAAGTTTTAGTTTAAAAGAAGTACAAGATTTTGATAATTTACTGTTGTGAGTCTCGACCAAAAAAATTGTCAATGTGTTCAATGTATGTCAAAGTAGGAATACAAATTTTTATGAATTTTTCGCTTATGAAGCTTTTGTGTTTAAAAAAATCGGAAAATGGCGGAGATTCCCTCATTATGTGATTACTTAAAGGTTAAAACATTTGTAGATGTCTGATGAAACATCTCGTTTGAACAACAAAAAGATTTTTGTAAGAGAATACAAATTATGCCTACGTAGGGATGGTAGACTTCCAAGTCTGGGTTTCTTACTTCGATTTCTGAAAACTAAATAATCGAAAATTGTACACAACATGGTAGTTGTGTACAATTTTCGACTATTGTACATAACATTTTCTCCCGATACTTAATCCGCATACAAAATGTTCATGTACATCTCGAGACATATACACCGAATTTTTTAGCACAAAATGTTGACCAACACGTATGCTGTACTAGAATGTTGCGAAAATTGCTGTGCGCATTTAAAAATTGCAGATGGAAATTCACATGCGATGCGAGAACATTATAATGCAACGAATATCATACAGAGTGGAGCAAGTCGCCATTACATCTGAAAGGAAAAAAATGTCGTGTTCTCTATTGTCTTCGCGATTTTTTTCTGCGAAGCAGTCCATGAGACCAAGCTCTCATAAAATTTCTAGAGCGATTCGATAGTTTTTTCAACAAGTTGTGATTTTAAAAAAAATTTCACTTTTTCCACTTGAATTTCGATTGTTGGAGAAAAAGGTGAAAGATTAAAATTTAATCATTAGGAATCGAATTTTCGGTTTCACACATTGGAAGGTGATTAAAAAAGCTTCAAAATGAGTGCAATTGAACTCAATTTGGTTCATTTTAGGAGCCGTTATCGCGAAAGCAATTTTTTTTTCATTCTGCAATTACTCGAAAGATTTATTTTTTCATCTGAAATTTGAGGGTTAACTTGTGGACATAATTGTCGATATTTTCACTAATAAAGGGCAATCATTTTTTTGCAGCCGTTCTTTGTTAAACGAGTGATTTTCTGATTCCGAAAAATCCGTTTTCGGAAGCAATCCGTAAATGACAAAGAAATAAAATTTTATGACTAGTAATTGTAAAAAAAGTGATTTATTTCACACCATATTCCACTTCGGAATATATAACTATCTACCTGAATGCCATAGTGAGGGAGGGGACTCTTAAGGGGTCTCCGCTAGTTGCGATGGGCGCGCGAGTGAGTGAAGTGTGAAATAGTTTAGTGTTAGTAAGGTTAGTTTCGAGAGAGACGGAACATCAAACATGGCGTATGTTGGATGATGACAGACATCGCCATAGTATTTTTATCATTAATTTATTGAACAAATCAACGATAAAACCCAATGGGACTTGGTGCCCATATTATTTAGGGCTTAATATAGAACAATTTAGCTTCCTTTATTGGCTAGCACATTGTCAACAGTGTGAGGGGTATGGGACAAAGTAGTGTTCATAAAGGTTGTGTATAAGGCGCAATTTGAATAATTAATTAAATACGAACGAAACCATAAAACTAGTTAGAATTGTTTTTACAAATACCTTTTTAACATTTTTGATTGCTATATGATATATTTAATTCGCAAGCACATTGTCATATTTTACCCAAAAGTACTGCGGAGACCCCTTAACACTCCGTTGGTCGCGCAAAATTTACGAACGCCGTTGGTCGCGCTGTAAGCGCCGCTCCGCACCATCATAAATCGACATAATGATAAATTTGGAAGATCCAGGAAAAATCGGAAAAAAATCAAGAGTGATCTAGACCGTATACTCGAAGTCCCATGAGATTTTTTATGTTCACTGTTACCATTGATTATATATTCAACTTTAAAGTTGTCATGTTTATCTGAAAATTAGCCTTACACGGTACACAGTCCGGAGTTTCGGAATAAAAATTTGAAAATTTAACTGCTTATGATATTTTTTGGGCGAATCTTTTCATTGATAGGACTTCTAGACACGTCAAACTGAGATGTCAATTTTTTTCAAATTTGTCTGAGGCTTTACTGCTGCGTAATTTAAATTGCTGTGATCATGATATTGTCTAGTTATTTTTGCTAATAAATTGGCAATATGCTAACGAATGGTCACGATGTTTGCTTCCGAATGGAAGCCTTGTAATCGATGATTTTTACGATCTCGTAATTTTGCTTGGAAATGATTTAGAATGTTATGAAACGTGAACATATGATGTTTTTAGAAAATGTATGTATGTATGTCGGAATGTGTATGCCAATTTTTCGGAAATTTTTTATAAATCCCCCCGAAAAAAGGACTAAAGTTTGTGCTAAAAATCTGAAATTTTGTCGGATAATTGTCATTACTTTGAAGCATTTGTGGGCGTAAGTTCACCTTAATCGGCCCAGTAGTTTCCGAGATATAGCAATTTCTCAAAAAAAATTTTTCCTTAATATTTGGTAAACTACGGGACCGAATTGAAGTTTTTTGACAAGAAAGTATTCCTTACGATAATATCTATCGAATCAATTAAAAATATTGCTACGTAACTAAGGTCAGTTTAGTAATAATCGGCATTTTTCATTTTTACTAGGAAATATGGAAAGGATAACTCGCTGAAAATTCAACATAGGAAGTTGAAATTTGGTAGGATTGTAGCTCTTATTATACTACAGAACTGTATTGTTCACAAGCTGAATCGGATAAGTAGTTAAGAAGATATTCAATTTTTTGTGAGAAAAAAAGTACTGGGCCGATTCACTTTTTTTTTCAAAATATTTATCACGATAACTTCTATCAAGATTAATCAAAATATGTATACCTGCCCATACAAAGTTTTCGAGAGATCAGCGTTTTTCTAATTTTTTAATTTTAAAGTCAATGTGGTATCCATAATACGCGTCAAGCTTGTTCTAGACATCTGAGGTTCTGGGTACTAATTTGTATTATGAGCCTACAGTTATGTATACGGGCCATTCCGCCAAATATCGGCGGAAATCTGGCCTCAAAAATTTCGACAATTTTTTTTTGCTTCTTCGCACTAGTTATCTAGAGAAAAGAAGATTTCTCGAGTAGGAGAGGTCCCGCCTTTTAATTGGAGATGCTCTACAAGCTTGAACGATTTTGCCTCAAAATCGTTCGATCGAATTAAACGTGTGCATAAATGCTCAAAGAAAAAAATCCAAACATAGTTTTTGATCGGAATTTTTCTGAATTTTCCGAAAATGCCGGTTTTTTTTTCCCCCACTCCTCCTTTATGGAGAAAATCGCAATAGAAAACTTCAAACGTCAATTTCCGCAATTTCGCCATTTTTTTTTCAATCTAATTTTTTTTTTGAAAAATTCAGAAAATTTCCGATCGAAAACGTATTTTAATATTGTTCGCTCTCATAATTCTCAACCAAAGAAAAATAAAAAACAAAAAATTACCCTTTCGAAGATCAATCTGTCATCATTTAATAATTCAATTGCACATATATTGTTATTTACAGGCTCGATTATATTTTCAAACTCATTTGTATTCATAAAATTTATTTCATGATCTTCATTTCTTTGAAAATATCTGAAGAACTATGAAGTTTACATTTCAACGTTTTGCTACCACTTGGAATTATACAGTGAAACTTTTTTGTACCCACGATTTGTAATGCTTTGGAATGTCGATCTTTTGGGAAGATTTGAGTTTCTCGATACTCTTCCTTTGAAACATACTCAAATGTAACTCTTTTTTCATTCAATTTAGCCCATTCGAATAGAGTTTGAGAATTGACAATTGGATTGTTCGCTCCAGTTTCCAAACTGAAACGACGTGCATTACGCTTAAATGAGCCACCCAATCCATCAGAAGCAGTTTTTCCATGTGCAGTAG